GCAGGTGAAGAACATAAACTCCAAAGCAGAAGAAGCAATAGCTTTAATTTCCTAATGTGGGAGTGAGTAACATCATAAAAATTCTTCAGTTTCTGCTGAGAGTTAAAAGAAAATCATTCCCTCCTTATTGGGTTCATTTTGTAAATTGAGATCAATGAAATTCTTCCAACAACAGCTTGAAATCAATCATAAAATAGCATATAATTCATGACCTGTATTATAAATTATAGTTTGTTTGACATTAATTGGTGAGGTTTCCATGCACTGGGATGCATTTCCTTGTAACACATCTTCAGATAATGCTTGTGGATCCATTTCTAATGCATCTCAGAGTGATCTGTTTTTCATGTCCACAAGTGCCTACATTTGATCTTATGCAAATAATGCAATCAAGCAAATGGAAAACAAGATGTTGTACTAGAGAGCCTTGACAAACAGTGGCCTTATTATGTTAGAGGCCCCACCATTTAAATGTATATTTGTACCTGCAGTTGTTCGAATCCATTGATCCATTATCAACCACGTAGTGTAGTGATCAACTGCTCAATGTATAGTTGGTAGCCAGCATCAAGTGGAGTGCCCCAGGGGTCGGTCCTGGGGCAGGTTTTGTTCAACATCTTTATTAATGATCTAGATGATGGGATTAATTGCACCCTCAGCAATTTCGCAGATGACACTAAGCTGGGGGGAGAAGTAGATATGCTGGAGGGTAGGGATAGGGTCCAGAGTGACCTAGACAAATTGGAGGATTGAGCCAAAAGAAATCTAATGAGGTTCAACAAGGACAAGTGCAGAGTCCTGCACTTAGGAAGGAAGAATTTTATGCATCGCTACAGGCTGGGGACCGACTGGCTAAGCAGCAATTCTGCAGAAAAGGACCTAGGGATTACAGTGACGAGAAGCTGGATATGAGTCAGCAGTGTGCCCTTGTTGCCAGGAAGGCCAACGGCATATTGGGCTGCATTAGTAGGAGCATTGCCAGCAGATCGAGGGAAGTGATTATTCCCCTCTCTTCCGCACTGCTGAGGCCACACCTGGAGTATTGTGTCCAGTTTGGTCCCCCCACTACAGAAGGGATGTGGACAAATTGGAGAGAGTCCAGCAGAGGGCAACGAAAATGATTAGGGGGCTGGGGCACATGACTTACAAGGAGAGGCTGGGGGAACTGGGCTTGTTTAGTCTGCAGAAAAGAAGAGTGGGGGGATTTGATAGCAGCCTTCAACTACCTGATGGGGGGTTCCAAAGAGGATGGAGTTAGGCTGTTTTCAGTGGTGGCAGATAACAGAACTAGAAGCAATGGTCTCAAGTTGCAGTAGGGGAGGTCTAGGTTGGATATTAGGAAACACTATTTCACTAGGAGGGTGGTGAAGCACTGGAATGGGTTACCTAGGGAGGTGGTGGAATTTCCATCCTTAGAGGTTTTTAAGGCCCGGCTTGACAAAGCGCTGGCTGGGATGACTTAGTTGGTGTTGGTCCTGCTTTGAGCAGGGGATTGGACTAGATGACCTCCTGAGGTCTCTTCCAACCCTAATATTCTATGATTTTAACACTTGAATTGGTTGATTATAGTATTGTCAAATCAGATGGTGCCAGTAATTTTGCCAGTTTTGAGTTTAATTTTAAGTTTGTTGCTTTCCAAGTGAGAACTACTATAAATTCAACCCAGGTTTTTCTCCTGGTTCCTTTCCATTCCATGCTTTTTCGTTTTGGACTGATCTAGAGCCTGGTGAAGTCAGTGAGAAACTTTCCATTGACTTCCATAGGCTTTGTGTCAGGCCCTTAATTCTCTTCTTATTCTGCTTTCTTTTCATATTTTTTTTACCATTCTTTTCCTTACTTTTTGATGTTTTTTTCCTTTGCCCTCTCTATGGGCAAAATCCTGAGTTCCTTAATTAATCACTGAGCCAATGAGAAGGAATGAGTGAAAATCTAGTGGGGACCTCACAGCTGGCCTGTAGTTGCATCTGTCTTTCTCTACATTCATCTACCTCTCTTCTTATTGAATCTTTCCCCTCTTAGCTCCTTTTCTGTCCTTCACCACGCTATTTCTTTCCTTTCCTGCTATTTCACCCTTTCCTCACCTCTTTTCTTTCTGCTTCTCTTTTTTTACTACTTCCATTTCAGGCACTCTGATACTTATGGTGATAGGGGGCCCATATAGGTTTCTTAGGGTGTGTCTTCACTAGCAAAGTTAAAGCTGCAGCTTTAACGTGGCTGTGTAGTCGCGGCACCAGCGCTCTAAAAAAACTACCTCCTCGAGGGGAGGGGACACTGGTGCACTGTCTACACTGCCACGTTACAGTGCTGAAACTTGTAGCACTCAGAGGGGTGTTTTTTCACACCCCTGGGCGAGAAAGTTGCAGTGCTGTAAAGTGGCAGTGTAGACAAGGCCTTAGGTAGGTAGACAGATGCGCCTTTCTTCTCCCAATCTCTTAATTCTTTCACAAGTACCTCCTTCTTCAAACCCGAATGGGCACTTTTGGAAACCTCATATCCCAGGAATGTCTATTTAACTTAGGAAGAAGAGATGACCAGATGTATTCATGCAGTAGAACATTTCTGCACAAGTGTTTATTTTTAATGATCAAACTTCCCTTTTGTATTTTAGATGCTTCTTCCATTCTGCAACCCTTACTCATACAATTAGTCTCATTAACATTAATTAGTATGAATGGACTAATTGCATGAGTAAAGGTTACCGGACTGTTTCAACAGAAAGCATAAGCAAGAAGGTAAATGCATGTATGTTGCAGGATTTTAAAATATTCTGCAACATACCAAGCATTCATCATTCATTTTTAACAATTTCCAGAAATAAACAGGAAACCATTTACTGGCCATACATACAATGGCACAAAACTCCTGATTATACTCCTGAATAGGCTCAAAATCCAAAAATCAGGCACTGGGAACATAGCGTTTTTGATGTGGACTTCGTCCCAGATAGGGTGACCAGATGTCCCGATTTTATAGGGACAGTCCCAATATTTGGGGCTTTTTTTAATATGGGCCCCTATTACCCCCACCCCGTCCCAATTTTTCACACTTGCTATCTGGTCACCCTACTCCCAGAAGATTTAATGGTGTACCATTTTGATAAAGCATTTCCCCCAGGAACAATGCTGCTTAAAATGGTGGAGGGCGGAATGGGGGAGCAGGCACAAAAAATATCCCCATCTACACAAGAAAATCATACTCCTCTGGCCTGCAGGAAAGGAAAGGGAGATATATGCCTCCCACCAGACCACTGAGATTTTGTGCTTTCTGTAGAGTCCATGGAGAGAGGCTCCACAGGATAGTCTCGGACAGATTAGAGAGGCAGGGATGTGAACTAAGTCAAGTCCTTATGCTGTCTTGAGCTGTTATTGAATTGCTGCTGCTCATCCATTTCTCAGCCCAGGATTTGGTGTGTCACAAATCACTTTCCTCTGAGTCACACCCCAGGCACTTCCCTGCAGCCCCCACCCTTATTTGGTATTGTTCCTGTCATGGTAGCAGCAGGAAATACGGGAATCAGGGAAGCAGGAGCTCATGATGGTGATCCAGCTGGTGTAGTATGTGGAGTTTGCTTTTTCTGCTTACTGAGCCAGTCTGAGAGCCTGCTCTGGAATGCAATTCTCTCTCTCACTCACTCACAATGTTACACACATTTTTTGATGATTTTTTTTCTTTAGTTTTGAATTATTATTTTTTTAAACTCGCAGTTTGCCCTGTGCTTAATGGGAATCATATCTGCTTAACTGATGGTTTTCAGTTTGCAATAAAAACACAGGATTTGGTTCTCCTCTCACATTGATGTAAGTCAGGAACAATTCCAGCGTAGCCAGTGAAATTACATAAGTATAAAACTAGAGTTAGAGGAAAGACAGGTCCACAGCATTCTGTTTCTGAAGTATTTTTTACTTAGCTTGCATATACAAATATATACAAAATAATAATAGTTTAACGATATTTTATGTTTATTCCATGTTATATGTTTAATTCATTCTGGGAATACTTGTATTTGTTACGGCTTGCATGCAGAAAATTCAGAAATTTTCTGGGATGTTAAAAAATATGCATTAACATAAAACATGATTTTTTTTCATATGGATCATGCTATTCCCAAAGTCTCAATTTTGCACCCTTCATTGAAGGACTTGCTGAGTAAAACAAACAATTATTAACGTAAAAAATATAAATACAATTTCAGAAAATTATCTTTAGAATTGTTGTATATTCTTTTAATAGAGCTTTCCTTGTCAAACTGTGAATTGTCAGTAAAGCCAGTTGTCTTACAATAGCCAGATGTGTAAAACTGAAATACCTTTATAACATTTAATTAGCAAGGAAGCTAAGTTTTCTCCAGGAGAGTTTGTAAAGCAGTTCAAATCTACCTTAGAGCTAACTTGAGCAACTGTTTTGTTGTTATACTAATCAGACTGGTTTTGGACAATAGCTATGCGTTGTTCATGAAGCTGAGGGGAAATATGCAATGTGTAGAGCCTATGCCAGTTTATAAATTAATGATGGCCACAACAATGCTTTTCTTGAGTTCATTTCACATACAGTGAATTGTTGTATAGGATGAATCGTCATGTTTATTGATACTTAACATTGATGTGATGGATAACAATTTCTTGGAAAAAAATAATCCGGCTGTATCAATCAACCTGTGTCTGTGTGTGTCTTAAATATATATAATTAATTTGATGTGATTTAATCATCTCAGAAATATCAGATTGATTTGCTTTGTATTGGTGCTGAATATTGCAGCGTAGTTAGTGGCTGCATTGTGCAATGGGGCCATCAAAAACAAACTGAGTTCTGCAATCATGTTATTAGTCAGGATTTGCAATGGCCTGACATTCAGAACAAACAAATACCAAATCTGAGACATGTAGGAAGGGAAGATTTCCCCCACGCCCATCTTTTTTGGATTCAATACATTATTAAGCTAAATAAAAACAAGATTTAAAAAAGTACAGTCTGAAGTAAATTCTTATTTCCCTTTTTCATAGATTTAGCAGTTTTTATGCCACACCAGTTCTTGCTCACTGCATGCACGCTTGTTGGCTGTACAAACAGTTCCCAGGTCACCTTGTGTACAGCACAGCTGCCACCAGCTCACGTAGATGCCCCAGTCCTGACTGCTTTGGATTCCAGAACGATATATGTACAGTAAGTACAGATTTTCTCTTTCCTGACAGCACAATGGTGTATCCGTTTATGCAAGAATCCCAGTGAGTTCAATCAGGGAAAGGGTTTGTGACATAAAATTAAATTTATTATGATTAAATGCACAGAAGTGATTAGTTTAGTGGTTCTGTGAACCTTTGATTATCACTTGCCAACTTAATTTCCATTTTGTCTTTACGCAATCAGGATAACCTACATATGGGCATAGCCTCAGTGCAAACTTCAGTGCAGGAAAAATGTGCTGGTGATATGACAGTTTTGTAGCTCTTACGTTACATGTGTTGTTGTAATCATTTATCTATTGAGTACAAATATTGCATTAAAGAAGTCTTTAAAAAAGTACTTGCTCTTTCAGACAGCTACATAGAAGACAGCTTTAATGTGTGGCTTGATCATTTTCAGTACTTTTAAATGGATTTCGTTTTACAGTTGTACAAATACAGTATATGTTCAAACTCATTTAAAAAAACTCCACATTTCAATTATAATGTGAATCATGATTGAATATAATGGTGTGTTGCTTTTATTTCCAGATGGAAAGAACCAGTAGAAGTAAATGGAATTCTGAACTGCTATATATTGTATATGGCCAGTAGTGAGCAGAATTTTACAAATTGGAACATAATCTATAACAACACAGAGGTTTTTCTGGATTACACTATCCGGCAGCTTTTCCCGGGTACTGAATACCTCATAAAGCTAGCTGTAAGTTTTAAAGACCTGCAATGGGAGAGAAAAATGGTGAAATTCACTCTGTTTATTGTTAACACCTCATATTCATAAATATCTCATTTGGCTATGTTATTTAACCTTTTTATTTTTTTGATCTAAAGGCAGTCAGAAAGAGGAAAAATAACAAATGCTCAACATCACCAATGATCTTGCATCCAATACAGGGCTACAGGGAATTTATTTCATTTGTTTAATGACCTGGTTTTGTCTAAAATATTGTAGATATTTTATAAAAGGGAAGATCAAAAGCAACTAAGAGATTTAGGAGCACAAGTCCCATTGACTTTCAAGAGCAGAATATTTGAAATTGGCCACCTAAAGCTTCACATCTGTTCAGATCTTGCTCCAAGAGAGCCTTACCTTTCACCATAAAGCCTCATAAACAAAGGAGTGTGTTCGGGTGACACATAAATAGTTTGTGCAGAAAAAAATAGAAGCTTTTTCTTGTTTGATTTTTAAGTCTTTGAAAAGACCTTAATATTTTCATTGTAGTTTTTGTTCAGTAGTTTCTTTTGTTTTTTGACAAAATAGAACACTTTAGGTTCAATAGAACAACAGAAAACATCTGAATATAAACATGAGATTGTCCCTATTTGTTTTAAATACACTCTTCATTTTATAGCAATACTATATAAGGATATTTGCTTTGATAAATGCCATAGAAAAATATTCTGCTCTTGATTATGAATAAATTTACATTTATGTAGACTCTGTGTATGCATTCATTTTACTTAACATGCTTTGAATGTTCTAAATAGTATACCACAAAGAAAATAAACTACCTTCAAGTAACAAGGAATTGACTCAAACCCGCAAAACCAAGGACATTCAGTTTAATTAAGGCTAAGAAACCATTTTGGATTGAACTGTTTTGTGACTAGGCATTCTACCCCAGTAAATTGTATGGCATGTAGAAACACAATGTCCAAAACCTACACAAAATTAGTGTGTCATGCGGTTTTGTTTTTGCTTGATTGACATTAATAGGTAGTTTAGAGTTAATTTACATATGTGACACATGTTTTTTAGAAGCCCAATTATCATCTTTATGTTCTCTCTTTAAGTATTCCCCTGGAAAGTCTCTTGTACGGCCAAGTTGTCTTTCTGGCCAAGAAATATGGCTGACTTTGAAGCTCATCAGTTCCATTCCTGTGCTAGCCAGGGTG